CGAGGTGTGGAGGCTCCTGGGCGAGTTCGGCGGCTTGCGCGATGCGGGCCCCCCGGTGCGGAAGATGCCTGGTGGTCGACGATCTAGGCGGTCGGTGGTCGACGGCGGCCGCATCGCGTTACAGGGGTTGGTACGGCAAGCAGCTCGCCGACAAGGCCGCGAAGAGTGCTGCTGCTCATGGTCGCTTTACGCCTGCTGCGAGGCGGAAGCTCGTGGCTGCTAGCAAGATGGTCGAGGGCGTGGCGATATGGATCTCGGTGGTGGGTGGCGCGCTGGGCGGGAGCAACACCACGCGCACGGCTGCCGCGCCCAACGAACCCGCGCCCAGGGCGTCCTTGGCGCAAGTGGCGACCAAGCTCGAGTGCGACCTGCGACGTCCTGAGGGCAAGCGGTGGTGCTCGCGCTGCAGGTGGGCACAGCGTAGCAGCTGGTGCCCAGGGCCTTTCGTTGCCGCGACGACCGAGGCCAACGAGAAGTTGAGGGCTGTGGGCGCTCAGGATCCCTACCTGTTGAAGGTCCCTGCCGCAGAAGCATGCGGACTTCGTCCTCGAGATGCCTGCGGTCGCGTGCATGTCGTGCGGGGCAACGGGGTCTGCCAGGGGCCCAAGCTTCGCGGAACCCAGCGGAGCGCCCTCCACCAAGGGCAGGGCCGTGATCTCCAGGCGCGCCAAGCTCGCCGCGCCCTCGGCGCCCGCCAAGATCGCCGTCCGCCTCGAGGTGGTCGGCGGCAGCGGCCAGCGCCGCGGGCCCGCTCACTTGCGGCGGGCTCGGGCGCGCGGCCGCGGCCGCGCGCGTGGGGGAGTGCGGCGCCGCGCTTTCCAGCGCCCGCTGATCCAATTCCCCCCTCTCCCCCCCGCCAGAATTTCGGCGCGCTTGCCAGGCGGCGCCGCTCCGCCCCCTTCACCATGCTGCGCCACCTCCACCAGCGCCCGCTGCTGAACCGCGACCTCGGGCACGCCGGCCTCGCGCGGGCGCCAGAGCACTTGCGGCAGCCGCGGCCGAACCCATGGAGGCGCGGGCTTCGCGGCGCGCCCCTCGGGCATCTTCAGCGGCGTCTGGGGGCGATGGCACAGCAAACGGCGCCGCCGAGGCCGCGAAGGCGAAGGGGGCATCGGGCGCGGCTGCGCCCGGGCCGCCACCAGCAGACCAGGAACAAGAACTCGCAACGCCCGGAGCAGGGCCCCTTCCGCCGCCAGCGCGGCGGTCGCCGTCGCCGCGGTCAACGCAGCGACAAACATTGGATTCCCAAGGGCAAGAACCTGCACGGCAAGATGCTGTTCCAGGCAACGAACCGCGAGCGCCTCGCGATGGCCCGCGCGGCGGGCGCCTTCGCGCTGCCCGTCAAACGCAGAGCCATCGCGGCGGTCAGCTCACCCGTCCTCGCCTTCATTGACAAGCATTTGCAACTTGGGGCGGGGGAGGAAGGGCGCGGGGGGGGCGGTCAACCGGTCGATCGGAATATTGATCGATCGGCCGATCAATGCAAGGGCGAGCTTGCGGCGTTCCGCTAGCCCCCCCCCCCCCCACCACCTCCCCCCCCCCCCCCCCCCCCCCCCCCCCACCCCCCCCCCCCCCCCCCCCCCCCCCCCCCCCCCCCCCCCCCCCCACCCCCCCCCCCCCCCCCCCGACCTTTATTTTCAACGTTGCGGCGCTTCTCGCTTGCCATCTGCGCGCGTTTCGATCGGCGGTTGCCTTTGGATCGCCTGCGCGTTTGGATTGGCTGTTTTCTGGTGGCCCTCCTCGCGTGCCCTCGGGGCACGTGCTGCGTCTGGCGCTCGTCCTCGAGGCGAGCCCAGTGGCGGTGGAGTCGGCTGAGCGCGCAGCAGGGTCGGTTCGCTCTCGCGCGAACGCGAAGCCATTGAATGTGCATCGAGTTTCTTCTGTAGCGAAATAAATGCGGCCATAGCTTGCGCGGCGCTGAGAAGGCGCCCCCTTTGTCTGACGCGCAGGGCGCCGTGTATTCTGCGCGCGCCGAAACGCGCGAGGGGGAAATCGCGAAAACAGGATTATCCCCCAGCAGAGATCGCGGCGTTCCCGAAGCATTGTCGGAGCATTCCCCATGCGCGTTCAAAAGTGGCTCTCATTTTGACTACTTTTGAGATTTCGGTCAAAAATCGCCCGCAAGGAGGGCGCGCCCGACGCGGGGCGAGGTCGACCGGCCGAGGTGGGGCGACAAAGAGGGCTTCAAGATTATCGAGGCTCCCGCGGCCTCCCCGCTGGTCGCCTTGGCGGGGGCGGTCGCGGACAGCGACGTGGGCGGGGCGATGGAGGTCGAGCCTAGCCGCTCCCTGAATGACGTCAACGGCGACGGCGAGCAGAGATGACGGCGCACCCTGATCGGCATCGAGAGCCACGCACAGGCAGCCCGCAAGGAGAAATACCGCGACCAGTCCAAGGTGCAGCTACTCGCAGCGATGCAGACCGCCCGCAGCGGGACCTCCTCCCGCGCGCCTCGCGCGCCGAGGGCGCGGCCGTAGCGCGCGCGGGCGCCATGCCCCCGGGATGGCTGGAAGAGGAACTGAGCAGCGAGCTCGACGGCTTGAGCAGGTGGCGCCTGGGCCCGCCGCGACCAGCCGACACTCGAGACCCGTCTTCTCTGCGCGTGCAAGTCCCTCTTTTTCGGCGTCAGTCGACTGCGCAGATCGCGCAACTTCTGCGCTCGCGTCATTTAGATGGCGAGACCAGTGACAGTCAGCAGCGGCGCCCCCTCGATTCGCATTCGAAGGATGCACGCGTGGAAGAGCCCCCAGAGATAGGCAGCCCTGATGTAGGAGCGGAGGCGGCCGAATGCCTTGTGCTTACTTAGCCCTGCACCAATTTGCACGCAAAGGAAGCGGGCAGATGCTTGCAGCACCGCGCAGGAAAAACATGTACACTGCCAGCGTGCCGATTTACAGTTCGGCAACGCTCGGTGAGCCTCTTTCTGAGCATCAGATCACCAGCGCGCGATCCTCGCGCGCGCCCCCGCTCCAATTCTTTGGGGGGCCAGCACCGCCAGCAATGGCGCACCCCGCGCGAATCTCCACCTCGCCCCATCCGCCGCGGCTCGCATTGCCCCACCAGAGAAGCTCCGAGCTGGCAGCATGCGCGCTACGCGAGCGAGAGGGTCACGCCTCTCTGCGACGGGATTTCTTCGAGTGGTTGAGAGCCGACCGACTCTGGTTGCACATTTTGAACCGCCCCAGTCAGGCTTCACATGCATCCCGAACGTCGATGTAAAACAAAAAATCGTCCCTTCCTCCCTCCCTCCTGCTTCTCACTTCCTACCGTTCCTCCTTCCCCTCCCCCCCGCCCACCGTCCCCCTGGCCCCTCCCCCTCGTTCTCGGCCCTTCCCCCTCTTCCTCCCCCCTCCCTCCTCTCTCCCCCCTCTCTCCCTCCTCCAACCCCTCCCCCCTCTCCTCTCCTCCCCCCCGCTCCTCCCTTCTTAGATCTGACCACGACGACCGCGACTATGGCCACAGCCACGACGACCACGACCACGACCACGCCGGTGGCGCCGCCCGCTCCCGCGGCCACGGCCGCCACGACGACGTCGTCGCCCCCCCCCCGCTGGCGGCGCAGAGGCGGACGAGGCCGAGGGCGGCCGGCAGCCGCGCGCGCCGCCGCCGCCGCCGCCCCCGAGGCCGCGCCGCCCGCGGAGGCCCCGGGCCTCGCCGCGGCGCGGCAGGCGCGGCCCCCGCCGGGCGGTGCCGCCGCCGCGGCGGCTGCCGCGGAGGCCTCCGGCGGCCCTCGGCGGCCCTTGGGCGGCCGCGCCGCCAGGGGCGGGCGGCCTCCGGCGGCCCTCGGCGGATCCCCCCGGCCGCCCCCCGGCGGCCCTCGATGGCCCGGTGGCCCTCGCGGCGGCGGGCTGCAGTCGTCGAGGGGCGTGCTCGTCGTCGTGGTCGTCGTGGTCGTCGTGGTCGTCGTGGTCGTCGTGGTCGTCGTCGTCGTCGTCGTCGTCGTCGTCGTCGTCGTCGTCGGCGGCGGCGGCGGCGGCGGCGGCGGCGTCGGCGTCGGCGGCGGCGGCGGCGGCGGCGGCGGCGGCGTCGTCGCCGCCGTCGTTATTCTTGTCTTCCTCCTCATCGTCGCCCGTTTCTTTATCGTTCTCCTCCTGGCCTCTTCTACCTGCTGCTTCTGCTGCCCCCGCTCTGGTTCCTGCCTCTCCTTACGTTTCTGTTGCCGCGTGCCGGATGATGACACATGCTGCTGCTAATGCTCCTCTTTCGTGTCTTTCCGTTTCCGCTCGTCCTCATCCTGCCCATGTTTGTCCTGATCCTCCTCCTCCTCCTCTTCCTCCTCCTCCTCCTCCTCCACTTCCTCGACTGTCGTCTCCTCGACCTCCCTCGACCTCCTGCCCATGCTCGTCCTGTCCTCCTCGAGGAAGCGGTGGACCTCCTCGACCTCCTCCTCCTAAATTCTCCTCCCTCCTCCCCCTCCTCTTCCCCCTCCTGGTCCCTCGGCCCCGCACAGGAGGGTGCGCTGTGCCTCCTGGACCCCGCCGACTTCACTGCCGGCTCCCGCGGAGGCGGCCTGGCGGAGGACGAGTCCGACGACGAGCTGGAGGCGCCTGGGACGACGACGACGACGACAACGATAAAAGAGCAGCGCGGAACACGGCAGATGTGACGTGGCGGCCACATGGCATAGGTCATCAAGCTGTCCTGTCATCCTGCCTTCCCCATGCTCCATGTTCCCTCCACCTCCCGTCGCACTCTGCACGCGTGTGTGTGCTCGGCGCGTTCGTTCGGAGCTGTTCTCGTTGATTATGGTCCGAGTGGTGGAGGTGGGGTTCAGGAGAAGATAGGAGGATGCGAAGGAAAACAAGAAAGGCGGATGACCACGCCGAGGCAAGAGGAGGAGGAGGAGGAGGAGGAGGAGGAGGAGGAGGAGGAGGAGGAGGAGGAGGAGGGAGGAGGAGGAGGGAGGGGGAAGACGAGGAGAAGGAGGAGGGGGAGAGGAGGGGAGGAGGAGGAGGAGGAGGAGAGGAGGAGGAGGGAGGGAGTAGGAGGGAGAGGAGGAGGAGGAGGAGGAGGAGGAGGAGGAGGAGGAGGGAGTAGGAGGAGGAGGAGGAGGAGGAGGAGGAGGAGGAGCAGGAGGAGGAGGAGGAGGAGGAGGAGGAGGAGGAGGAGGAGGAGGAGTGGTGAGGAGGCGGCGGCGGCGCTCCAGAAGAGTCCGAAGCAGGGTCGAGCTAGGGAGGTGGGAGCAAATAATGCCCCCCTCGAATCTGCAGCTCGGCACCTCGCGCACGAGGGGCACGAGCGGCGGCCCCCGTGCATGCACGGAGGTCGCCAGTGCACAGCCCGTGCCGAAGCGGCTCCTTCCTGCACCGGTTCCTCCTCCTCCTCCTCCTCTCTCCTCCTTCTCCTCTCCTCCTCCTCCTCCCCCTCCTCCTCCTCCTCCCCCCCCTCCTCCTCCTCCTCCTCCTCCTCCTCCTCCCTCTCTCCTCCTCCTCCTCCTCCTCCTCCTCCTCCTCTGCGGGCCGGGAGGCGAGAGCAAACATTTAAACCCTCGGTTCAGCAGCCAGCAGCGACGACGCGGAAGAAGGGCGAGGGAGCGGGCGCGCAGCCAGGGCGCCACCGCCCACCCCCCGAGGGGGGGGGGAGCGCTGGCGCCGAGGGAGCGCCCCCGAGGGGGGGAGGAGAGCCCGAGGGCCGAAAGAGCGGGAAGGGCGACAACGCGAGAGAGAGACGACCAGACGCGACGAGGAAGCATGCGGGGGCCAAGTACCTACGACAGGCGATCGGTCGATTGGATTCTACTTCACTCGATAACGCAGAACTCGAATTCAAAGGCCGCCCAAAAAACTCTGCGGCTCCATAAAGCTTATTGCAGACAGGGCACAGGCACAGAGGGGGGAGGAGGAGGGGGAGGCGGGAGAACGGCAGCGGCAGCACATGGTGCTTCCGAGTAGGCGGGGCTCAGGTCACGAGGCGCACGCTGGAGGCACCCTCCTCGATGAGGCCGATCCACAGGAGGTCGCTGAACCACACGTGGCAATCATCATAGAAGTGCGGCGCACCCATGATCCACTCAAGGCCCATGAACCACCCGTGGTAATCATCATGGAAGGGCGTCACACCTATGATCCATTCAAGGCCGCCGAACCACTCGTGGCGATCATCGATGACGGACGCCTCACATATGATCCACTCAAGGTACCTGAACCACACGTGGCCATCATCCCTGTCGACCTGCCTCCAGCGCTTTCTGGCCCTCCAGCTCCAGGTGCCCTGGCGGCCTCGGCTCAGAGAAGGCCGCGCGCATCTCCGTCTCCTCGATAGCGCTCACGAGGATATTCTCTAACTTCTCCTCCTTCATGGCGACAATGAGGCGCTTCTTCTTGCTGTCGTACATATCCTCGGTACGAACGAGGCCCACCATGTGTTGTGCCTCCTTCGATCCTGGTTTGAACCTGTCCAGGTACTCCTTCAGCGGAGCTTTGAACCCCTCCTCGCAAGACTCCATCGTAATGATCGCAGCAGTCAGCAGGAAGGTGTCTGGCGCCCCCAGTCCATGTCCAGCCCTCCCCTTGACCCTCGGCAGGTACTCTTCGGCGTGGGCCGTTGCCATCGACCTCACAATGGCGCCCTCCGTGTGCATCTCGATCTCCACTGTGCATGCTGCAGCCAGCAGCCCAGCCTTCTGGTTAGCAATCACACCGAGCTTCAGAGCCAGGTCGAGCTTCTGCTTGTCCAAGGGCTCCCACGAGAGCGTGAAGTTAGTCGCGCTTCGCGCTTCGCGTTCCTCATTCCTCCTCCCCCTCCTCCTCGTCCTTCTCTTCTACCCTTTGGGGTCGGCGCGAGAGCGCGAAGTTGTTCGCGCAGCGCGAAGCGCGAAGCGCGAAGTTGGGAGCCCTTGTTGTCCTGCGAGCATTCAGGCTGGCGATGCTCTACACCACGACCTGGCTCAGCTGCTGCATCACCAGGCCCTGCATGAGAGAACTGGTCCTCAAGGGCGCCCTCGAGGGCGCGAAGTTATTCGCGCTTCGCGGTTCGGCTCCCATTCCTCCTCTTCCTCCTCTTCTCCCTTGGGAGGCAGCGCGAGAGCGCGAAGTTATTCGCACTTCGCGCAGCGCGAAGCGCGAAGTTGGGAGCCCTTGCTGCATGCGAGAATTGCTCCTTCCACATCGGTCGGCTAGCTCGGGCACTTCGGGCGATAAGGGACAGCACAGCCGGGTGCGTCATGGATCACGACCAACAGAGTCCGAGCCAGAAGTTAACGAATTCACACGCATCCGCACCACTGAGGCACGGTCATGCGGGTATATGTGTTATCATGTACGCTCTCGCCGCGTCGTACGTGGCGAACTCCTCGTTACACAATTCACACCAGTAGGAGGGTCAATTACGTGTCGATGTACCCTGACAGGCCCCCTCGACCTCTGGCATGCTCCTCTCGTAAGGTCTTGATCAAGGTGTTGTGAGGCATAGCGTTTCGCCGTCCAGAACTTGTTACACGAAATGCATTTGTTTGGAACAGTGAGTATGTTCGTTAGTTGCTTTTTTCCCGTGTCCTTCTGCTTGTGAGTTAGAGTGATGAAGCAGTAGTTGGCGACGGGTGTCGAAGCCGAGGCCACAGCCTTCAATATCGCACACGTATGGTGCGGCAGCGGGCGGTTCGGGCAATTCAGGCTGAAGTGCGGCGGGGTCGCCAAACTCTCCGTCTCCCGCCTGTGGTACCTCCTGTTCCGCCTCTCCCGCTGCTTCCGCTGCTGGCTGGTCTCCTCCACCTCCTCCTATACCTCCTTCTTCTGCCACCCGCTCGATAAACCTCTCGGACATGTCAGCATGAACTCTGGGTCCTCCTGCTACCCTCTTCAACGCCTTGGCCGAAAATGCGAGTACTGCGTCCCGCACTTCAGCTTGAGAAGGGGGCAGGAGAGGGGGGGGGAGGAGGGAGGAGGATTAGGGAGGCGGAGGAGGAGGAGGAGGAGGAGGACGAGGAGGACGAGGAGTAGGAGGAGGAGGAGGAGGAGGAGGAGGAGGAGGAGGAGGAGGAGGACGAGGAGGAGGAGGAGGAGGAGGAGAGGATGAGGAGGAGGAGGAGGAGGAGGAGGAGAGGGAGGAAAAAAGAGAGAGAGAGACTGGGCGCTCCACGAGTCAGGGACGGATGCCTGGCATCTCCAGGAGCTCTGCACGCGCAGAGGGGTCGAGCAGCAGCCGGCCCCGCCACGGGTGCACCGAGCTCCCTCCGGGAGCCATTGCCGAGGAGCCCACAGCAGCGCACAGGTTCTGCATAGCCGAACCGCGTGGCGATAAGTAAGGCATGTCTCTCTGGGTTGCGAATGATCTCTTTCCACCAGTTGATCCGCTGGGCGCGTGGCAGACTGAACGGTGTAGGAATCCTGAGAAACTCCCGAACCTTAGAGAGTTGCTTCTCCCCGATCTCCGTCGCTTCAACCTTGAGACGCCCTTTGCCTCGGAGAGCTCGCCTAGCTAGTTTCGCCAGCACGCCCTCGAGCTTCTGAAGCTCCGCCTCAGGAAGCGGGAACGCGATCACCTCCGACAGGAGCGAGGCGTAAACCATGCTCTTGAAAATCACTCCCCTCCACCTGTCGTTCGTAACCGCACTCCAACAACTGCCCAGGACAGCAAAGGCCTGCTTTGCACGCTTAGCCCGATACTCAACCTCTGGTTTCGTTCGCCCCTGGAAGTGTATCTGGCCCCCGAGATACCTCGCCACCCTCTGAACCTCCCCCTTCATTAGGTTCTTGTGCCTGTACAGCCTCCTCATCCCGTACTGTATGCCATTCCCCTCCAGCTGCACCAATTACGCTTGCTTGTCCCCGTTTAGTGCCACCCCCTCCTCCCACAGCTCCGCATCTAGATGCACAAACTGGGCGTTCGTGCGCGACCTGCAGTGGGCAGCATCGTCCGCAGCCGACGTACGAGCGATGTCGTCGGAGAAGCTGTATATAGAAATGTCGAAACAAACTCACGAGACAGAGCGTTGAGGTATTGCCGTGTTTCCACAGATGTTGTGAGACAATGCCTTGGCCACTTCACCCGCACATCGATTCCGCTAGCGTCCGAGTCCCGAAACCGATCGATCGCAGTGTTGTACGATCCTAGGAGCCAGATGCACGCGACGGTGTCACCAGGAAAGGTGCCTTGCCCGATGCTCATCTGGAGGTCCCCATCCACGCACTCTATCATCACATGGGCGAAGTCTAGCCTCTGCTCCAGCAACTTGGCTCCGAACTCATCGCAGTGTGAGCGCATGTACGTATCAGTCGATCATGATGGTTACTATGAAAGGCATTCGTGGCGTCGTACAGCGTTGTGACCCTACCTATCCTAGAACCGTGCAGCCTGGCAGCACACGCATTCTGCACTAAGATCGCCCCCTCCCGCCGCCTCCCCCGAAGGTAACCGAAAGCATATGGCCGATCGGCCTGCTCTGTCAGCGCTGGATACGAGCACCAGAGCTGGGAATAGTAGACCTTTCCGAAAGCATCGAGCGAATGCACAAGCCTCTGGCCATTGCATTCGCTCTTATCCAGGGAAACAAGCGTGGCTGCGGTGCCACTGCAGAGGGGCTTCAGCATGCATCCTGAGAGCCGT